CCAAAATGGAGAGCAGAGCTGTCCTTACTCATATGCAGAATACATATTGCAGAGGGCACCTAAAAGTTTGGGGCACCACTGGCTCTTAATGTCCACCTACTCACTTCTTCCTATCCCTGTTCTCTGGCTCTGCTTTCTCTGGAGAGGAGCTAGTTAACTTAAAAGTGAAAAGGCCTGCCAGACCTATTAGCAGAACACAGAACCTGTAAATGAGCAGTTCAAGTGGTAATGAAGCCATTTAACAGGTATTTTCCAACCCCAGGTATATACTGTCAGTTTCTGAATGTACTGTGTTAGACTACAGCAGGGGTGGGGAACCTAAGGCTTGGGGGCTTGATGCTGCCCCCAGCTTCCTTGGATCTGGATCTCCCAAAATGAGAGGCTCCCTCCAATATTGGGGAGTCCATGCTGGCGCTCCAGCTCCCCTGCCATCCCCCCGTGGGGCTGGAGTATACAAAATCTATTAGCTTAGACCCTGGCGTGTGAGGGAAACGTGGAGAGTGTCTTTCTGCTTCTCAGTCGAGGGCTACGTCAGAGAGGGGATATTTTTTTGTTTTTTGTTTTTGCTTCTCACGTGTGTGCAGCCCCCGACTGATTTTTCTGTGGGTCAATAGCCTCTGACCCAAGAAAGGTTCCCCACCCCTGGTTTGCAGGACCTTAGTTTAAAATTTGCTTTGAAATATTTCATTAGTGTGTCGCTGAAAATTATAAAATCACATCCCTAAAAGAGTGCCCCCCTCTCAGCTGCCATCAGGCATAGGGGGCACCAGCGTAATAGTTGTGCATAGAGCCCCATAAATCCTAAGTATGGTCCTGATGAAGGGGATTTCCAAGCTGGTTGGTTCAGTCCACTGTAGTCATTCAGATTTTGGAGCAGGCTCAGCGAGGGGCCTTTAGATTTAAGGTTTTATTCAGGTACGTGTCTGTCTATAAACATTTGGCATCATCACCTGGTGGCTGGTGGATGCTGTACAATGGAGCCGATGGCCTCCTGGACAAGAGGGGGAGAGGGGACAGCTCTGCACTCCCAAAAGGGGTGGGGTCGAGGACAGAAGGACCATGGCTGAAGGTAGTTGGCCCTCAATGCTTCCCAGAGTGCCCTTCCAGCCCATCTAAAGGGATTGGGGCTCTGGCTGCCATTGCTGCTACTTCAGCCAGAACCCCAGGCCCCTTTGAATTGCTGGGGCCTGCGGCAACTGCCCCCTTTGCCCTCCCCTGTAAGCGGGCCTGGTGCTGTGTCACGCACCAAAAAACTCAATGTCACTCGTGGATCTTGAAGAAATAAGCCTAAGCCACCATGTGGAGGAAAAAGAAAGTAGCCGGCACACACAGGAAATATGTATCTTCCTTTCCTGTTCTCTGACAGAAAGTGAGGCAATGAAATCGGTGTCAGTGGAGTATATCAGTCATTGGAGACGCTTGCTACTCATTCTGCTGGATGAGTTCTCATTCAGGGAGGTCAATTTTAGCTGCTTCCCTCTGGAGGTGAATGCCTTTAAAGCCCATTTCACTACAGGGGCAGTACCTGCTGCCCTGTAGGGGCTGAATAGATTTCTTATAATTATTTGGAAGAGGAAAGTGATTTTTTCCTGTTAAGCCTGTTTGTATTGTAGTGAAGCTATATACCTTTTGTGAAGGAAATCAACTCTGCTATGTGTTCAAAGATTAGACTGGAACCCAGAATAGGTTTTTCCTTTCCTGCTTCCCTCTTTCCCCACATAGTAAGATACAGAATTTAAACATTTGCTATTATGTTTATAAAAAACCCCTTAAATAAGGATATCTTTAAATAAATTAGTCTCTAAGGGTAGTTATATTGATGAAATGGAATTACTCAAATTGGCCTAGTGTTAGAGGGTATACAGCCAATTTACCAAGAAATCCTTTACAGAGAAGTTTTTAAAAGCATAAGTACAACTAGAGAAACTCATTTCCTTATCTTCGTGATAAAAATTGATTCTGGATAAACTAAGAGCACTTTGAGAGAATCCCATATTATGTGCTGACTGCCGAGCAAAGGCAGTGAAGCTAGTTAAAATTCTGCTGCTTCTTGCAGAATAAAGGGCTGTCATTTAATTCAACATCCTCAGTCTTTTGTAGAAACAATTATAAAATGCAAATATTTAAAATCACTTATGCGACTTGCATCTTCTCTTCTGCTTTGGAACTAATGATGCATTCTGACAATATTCCATAGTTTAATAAATCTATCTTATGAACACATGGCTACTTTGGCTGCTTAAAGCTGATGGAGTTCAAACAGCATCCTCAACATTTCTCACAATACCTTTGCTTAAACACATTCTAACTGAGAATTCTATTTTTGAGTTATATTTTGGTCTCTCTGGTTTTACATCTTTAATAATGGACACAATTTTGTGACTGATTCAAGATATGACCCTACTGCACAGCTGAATATAGTGAAATAGGCAAAATAAACCTATGTTTAGGGCCCTGGCTTCAGGAGTCATTCAGTTCCATCACAATCTCAGTTTTTATTTTTTTTAAAGGATGTTGCTAGTTCTCATGATTATGAAGAAAAGTTTGAAAATGTGACCCAAATATGTGAGCAGTGCAGCAAAAAATGCCTGAGTTTGCCAGCAGCCTGAAACAATAGCTCTTAGGAGGGTGAGGTACCCAATGAGATATTCATTTCAAGAGCTATGGCTCTGAGATGCTGTATCAACACCACCCCCTGCAAATGACTCTGTATGAGTAGTGTTACAAATGTGGGTTGTGTCCATGAAAGCGCATGATACCGTCTATATTTTTTGTTAGTCTCTAAGGTGCTGCAGGAATATTCACTGGTTTTTAGGTTTTTTCAGTTAGGCTGCATCTACATAGCAGGGCTTAACTCGAAATAAGCTACGCAAATTGAGCTATGTCAATTGCATAGCTTTTTTTGAAATTGAAATTGAGAGCGTTTACACAGCACTTATTTTGAAATAGAGCACTCTTCCTCTGACTTCCCTTATTCCTTTTACAATGAGGGTTACAGGAGTTGGAGTAAGAAGTCCTCCAGCTTGACAGTATTTTGACATTATTTCAAAATAACTGCCTGCTGTGTAGACATGAACTAAATTATTTTGACATAATGCTAGTTATTCGTAGGTCATTCACCCAAATATTGTCCACCTGATGTGTAAAACTGAGGATCCCCATCCCACCACTCTAGATCAGGGGTCTCCAAACTTTTCAGCCCAAGGGCCGCATTAACTATCAAACAGCAGTTCGGGGGCCGACTACACACTTGAGGTCCAAATAAAAAACAATCAAAACATGGATGTTGTTTTTAATTATGTATTTAATATTATTTTATTCAGTTATTATTTAATAACACATTCATACACTACACATGAACACCTGTATTAGTGTGAATGGTGAAATTGTTTCCTGGATGCCAAAATAGCAGACATTTCTGGCTTTAGATTTGTTGTCCCTAACATCAACAGTGACCTGAGATTATCATCGGACAAGTTTGTTCTCAAATTGTTCTTCACGTATTTCATTCTTGAAAATGTTTGTTCACACAGGTATGTTGTTGCAAAGATTGAAAGGTACCTTGATGCAAAAGTTTTGACATTAGGAAAGTCTTCCTTGGGCAAAAACTGGTAAAAACCCACCAGTCCTATTTTGAACTTGTCCCTAAGGAGGTCATTTGCTTGCAACTCAATGACTTCCAGCTGCAGTTCATCTGGGCAACTGGCCACATCTGCTTCAAATGGGTTTTGAAACAATCTCACTTCTTCTGCCTTTGAATCCAAAAAGGTCTCCACGGGCCGGATGAGAGGCCCTCGCGGAGGAAATCTCTGAGTGCACCTTTGAGGAGATGGGGAGGGAGGGCATATCTGACTGTCCCTTTTTGGAAATGGAAAATTGGGTATCCCTTGTTGTGTTTACTCTAGGTGTGGGATGGGACTCTGGCAGGTAATGGGAGCATTCTCTGGTGTACCTAGGGCCCCAAACTAATTAAATCTAGCCCTGGCTTCAAGGAGAAGTAGAGCTACTGTATTGGAGAGATTTCAAATGTCAGGTATAAAATCTGCTGGTTTTGGAATATGGGTGCAAAACAGGTTCAGACATTTTTAGTGTGTTGTGATTGTGAAAATAGTACATCATCTTCGTGTCTCCTGATTTTAAAGAAAGGTGTTTACATAGTGCAACCACCTAACGCTAGAAAATTCCACTTTGCTTCCTTGGTACAATTTTTTAAAATAGTAATTTGAACATCTATAAGGCTAAAATGTGACTCTCTCAAAAATGCCATGAGTCAGAGAATCCAAAGGGGAATTTTCCTGTTGCCAAGCTAGGTCTGGTACCAGATCACTTCTACTGCTAGGTTATTTCAGTAGTTTTGGGGGAGCATTCTGAGGATGGAGTGAAGGCTCAGCCTACTAACCCCTGCCTGTCCAAGAGCCACCCTACCCCCTATGTGCAAGTGCTAGTAACTACCCTATGGACTTCTTTCATCTCTTACCACTTCCCCCTCTCTGCAGTGCTACCTGTGCAGTGACGTAAGCAGGAAATCCCCCACGTAGACAAGGCAGGTGAATGACAATCTCACCCACAGTTAGCATCTTCCACCCACAACACAAGTGATTTCTGTGCTTCCAAGTATATATGCTCTTTTCACTGCGTGATTAAAATATCCAGAATGAGTTAGGCTGGGTTAATGCTGCAAGAGAATCTATGGTATATTTTTAACTTTTGGAATTGAAATGCTAATTAAAAGGGTTCAACGGCTGAATTTGGCCCTATACTAGTATTAAGATAAATTACCATATTTATATGATTTTAATTCACTTAAAGATGACAAAATATTTATCTTTCATGGCTCAATATTGAAATAAGTATTACAAATAACATTTGGATTAAAAACCTGAGCACTTCTAAGTTTTCCCAAATATACCGTAAGTAACTTTACTAAAATTTTGAAATACTGACTAATTGGTATAAACCAAAGTATCTGTAGTGCAGGGGGAAGTGAGGGGAATGAAGACCCAACTCAATATTATCTTTCAGAATCTACAAAAACAAGCAAATGGGATTCCAGTCCTGAACAAGCCAGAGAAGTCCAAGTTCAAGCCCTTATTTCACTGACTTTGTTGCAACACTGCAGGTATGAGGAAAATAATCTTTATCCCCTGCAAACCTTGTCTCTGCATAGTTTCTAATTAGGACCCTGATTGCATCCTTCTGCAGGAAACATCTGTGGCTAGGTGTCAAGGGAAAATGAAATCTCTGTAGAGCACTCTCAAAATTCTTCCATCTCAGGGGTACGGGCTTGTCTCCTGTAGAAGCAATTGGTAACTCTTGAACCAAGCAGATCTTCTATGGAGCTACACAGAGACCTGTGTCTGCAATAACACTAGAGTCTCTTGGCTTCTCAGCACAGGCTTCCAGATTTGAGCTGCCCTTGGAACCCTTCATAGGATGATTGCACAGATTGTTGGGGTGCCCATGTTTCTTACAAACACTCACTGTTCAACCCTGACACCTGTTCTCTTTCCATGCATGTCTCCAGATAAGCAGGTATAATACTTCAGCAGGCCCTGTATCTGATTTTTGGATGGGCAAATGGGAGGTGTGGACAGAGGTAGTGCTAGCTCATTGAAGACCCAAAGCAGGAATATTTTACCCCTCCCAATACTAAAAAAGCTAAGGGGGGAGGGGGACCTGAATAAGCTTAAGGAATAGCTTCTTCTGCTTATGCCTAGTACAGGTTCTGTTGGGGGAAGAGGGGGAGACAGGAGGGCAGAGCTTAACACAGAGGATATCCTCTATGCTAAAATGCTGAAAAAATGATCTCCAACTAAATTCATATTGAATACTAATGATCACACTCTCTTTGAAGTACAAAAATCTAAATAAAAAGCGCAGCTTTCTATAAAGCAATTTATAATCCAAAAATGATAAAGTGCGTAGATTTCTGTGAGATTTTATAGTTCCAACTATTTGTGGTGCCAAATATTCAAAGACATACTGTACTCTGGATTCTTGGATAAGCCATTGCAATCTGGTACATCAAGCCACTGTATAATCCAAACAACATCTGTTACTTGGAGAATTAATATAAAATTGTATAGTCTCATTACTGATAGGATCTAAGGTTCCTTGTAGAAGAGATCTAATGTTTTTAAAGCTTGTCAGTTGCAACTTGAATTTGTCTATTCCTTTTCACTCCATGGCAAATTGCATTCAATTGTATATAGTAAGTCATAAAACCCCCTGTTTGGCACATGTAGTGAACATTAGTTAATAAGGGTAGAGCAAAACTGGCATACAGGCAGTCCCTGGGTTACGTACAAGATAGGGACTGTAGGTTTGTTCTTAAGTTGAATCTGTATGTAAGTCGGAACTGGCATCAGCCGCTGCTGAAACTGATCAGTTTCAACAG